CCCCCCCCCCAAATCACTATTTTGTGTGAAGTCCTCTATGAGGATGGAGAGATGAGTTAGGAGGTTGGTAATTCAAGACAGAGCATGCCATCCAATTAAGGACTTCATTGTAGGGTCTCTCCATGGGCTCTGGGGAACCCCCCTTCCCCGGCAGCCTCCGGCTTTCCCAATGGTTAGGCTCCCTGGAAAAAGACGGCAGTCTGAGGATTTGCAGAGACAGGGATGAGCACCGTAGGGCCTCCACGCAGCACAGGTCGTCTGGGACATTCTGCGGAGCCTCGGGAGATGGGAAACAGCAACAGCCAATGGCTCTGGCGAGACACACACACACGCACAGACACACAGACATCAGGCCCCCTATCGGCCTCCAATCACCTAGAGTTTTATTGTTAGTGCCTAGGCAGGGTTCGAGAAACAGATACACTGAACAAAACATGTTGGTCTTCTCTGTCCAGAAGGGAGGGGGGCTGTGCTGAGGAGCCCCCTTCCCCCCGGACTGTGGCTGTCCCAGGTTGATGCCGGGGACGGAGCCTTGTCGTCTGCTAGCCAGCTTTGGTGAGGAAAGGAGCTGGGGTGACCGTCTCCGGGGCGGAGGACCCCGTCACCCCCCCGGGACAGGGAGAGGCGGGGAGAACACGGACTCCAGTCTTAGGTAGGCTGGATTCTTCTGAAGGGGCCTGGAGGGGGCGATGAGCAGTGGGACCCAGTTTCTGTTTTTTGAGGGATGATCCCGGTCGCCTCCACCCAGAAGCAGGTGAGTGGGTAGAAGGACGCGGTGGACCCGCTCTTGCTGTTATTCGAGGGCAGTGAGGGGAGCTCAGGTTCCGCTTCGGAGAAGCCTGGATGAGCGTCCCGGGGGTTATAGCACCAGGGGGAGGCTCAACCCGCTGCGGCTGTGGTGTGACCGCGGGTCCTGGGTGAGATGACTGGCCCCACGGGGAGGGGCCCAGGCGCACAGCTGTAAACAGGGTCCCGGCTCCGGAGGGAACTCGCTAGATGGGAACACACTTTCTGGAGGAAAGCAGTGGAGGCCTGGGCCAAATACAGCAGCCAGCTGAGAGTAGATGGGCGCGGGCCCCGGGAATAGAGAAGGAAAGTCATAGCACGAGAGGCCTCCAGAAGCAACCTGCCGAGGATCCAAATAAAACTCACGGTGGTGCCCACGGTTATCAGGGAGACAAGAGTCCCTCCGGGGGGGGGGTCTGAGGCAGTTGGAACGGAGGAAGGGGTTCTCCCTCCCTTTTTCTCAAGTAGCCAGTAACATCCAGGACAGAAGGCACTGGCTGGGCAGCACCAGAAGGTAGAGTTAAGGGCTCGGCCACCCGATGGAGATGGCGCTAAGAGTCGGAGCCCTGCCATGGGACTGCAGCTAGGACAGGGCTCAGAAGAGGCCTAGGTCCCAAGGAGGCCCGTCGGTCTTCCCTTCCTTCCAGGTCAGAACTTCCAGCCCTGGGGCTTCCTCGCGCCGCACAGCAGGGACCTTAAGGCAGCGATGTCAGCACCGTCCTGGGACCAGCAGCCTCTCCCCGCCCCCCTCACAGAATGGCATGTGTTACAGCGGAGTTGGTCGGGGGTCTTCACAGCTCACGGGCTTAGCAGCAATAGCGGTGATCGTCTCCGGCACGGAGGACCCTGTCGCCCCTGGGAGCAACCAGGTGACTGCAGACGCTTTCTTAGGGGAATACTCCGGGCCATCTTTTGGACCTAAATGAAAATATTCTGACACGAAGATTCAGATGCATCTGCCCCTTGTTTGGGTGGGACAGTGACCCAGGCCGGTATGACTGTAGATTCGGAGACGGACGGTCTCGTGCTACTTAGGAATCCGAGGAGCAGGCGCTTGGGCCCGGGCTCGTCACATTTCTCTGGTCTGCGGAGCCCCAAAGCTTCGGCCTCAACAGGCAGCTCAGCCTGAATGTGGGCCCAAGGGGCTTTCAAAAGTGGCAGAAAGTAGACCTCCACACTCGAGAGAAGCAAGATGCCGTGCTCCTTCAGGTCCGTCGTAACCGGCCCTGGACCGTCTGTCCACAGTGCACTGCACGTCCCGTCAAAGGCTTCTTTCTGGCTGGCTCCTCGGGTTCTGGCTCCACCTCTGACGATCCTGACGGTCTCGGTAACACCGGGATGTGCGCTTCATGGAGGTTAACACTTTCTACTAGACTGTGAACAGAAGGGTCCGAGTCTTGTCTTCTTTTTAAACTGCTCGTTGAACGAAGGCACCCGACAGCCAGGCCTCAGGGCAGCGCCTCGTGTTCTCGCCAGGAGAACCTCACACGGATGTTCAGTGTCCTGAATGTGAACACTCACTTGTTGCAGACAGTGAAGGCCAGCTGGGGATTTCGAATTCATCAGGCAAAGTGGCTACCACCAGAGTGGCGCAGAGAGGAGCCAGACAGGCTACAGGACAGAGGAACAGTCCTGGTTTCCTGGTTTCCCCGAGTCCACGGTGAAGCTGGGTAGATTTTCTATCAAGACAGGGAGTCACACACTGGCGCCCACGCAAGACCGCGTGCTTTCTCCAAAGGGGCGTCCAAGTTCTTCCCGTCCCAGGGCTCTGAACCAATGCTCTGCGTCTCCCGTGAGCCCCAGGGAGCCCGAGGATGGCAGCCGGGCAGGCGCCTCGCCGGCGCCAATGAGATGGCGTCAGATGCTCCAAAGAAAACCCACCTGGAAAAAGCCGAGCCAGCCCCTGGAGAAGCAGCCCAAGCGTCTCGTGAACATGTGAGCAGGTGGGGGGAAAAAAAAAATACGAAAAGGAAATAAATAGGCAAATGGGAGGAAAAATAGAAACAAAAAAACACAAATGAAAATGAAAAATAAAAACGTAGGGTTTATCGATGCCCATGGGTGTGAAATCAGCGGGAATGAGACAGAGCCACTGCTTTTCTCCGAAGGCCCTGACGTCGCTGTTGTGGTTTGGCGACTTCTTGGGCGGCCAGCTGTCTTGTCCCCTT